GCGCGTCGCTTCAAATCACCGAGCGTAGCATACTCAAACTTGGTCTTAAGAAGTTCTCTCGCAGTTTTGTACTGGTACACAATTGGGATCGAAGAAGATCGCGTAGGGCTCATGCTGGAGCTTGAGCTTGAAAAGATAAACTAGAACGGTTATTGGCTATGTGTTAATCAGGACAGAAATTGAGATGCTACAAGCCTTTGAAGACTTTCAATTAAATTCTCGTGAACGGCCTCAAGAGGGAAAGAACGCGGGTAATTAGGGAAGCGATTCGTTTTCGTTTAGCATCTGGGTGGTTGAGAAATTGGCGCATGTTTGGTGAACCAGTCATCGAACGTAGAAAAGCATAACCGATTCAGTTTCAGATAACTTTTGGATTACTTGAGAATCGAAATTAAAAAGTGCCTGAAGCAGTTGTAGAGCAACCTGCATCAAGCACAGCCTTACTACCGGACTGCGCGGGGCTTTTTGACCCAGGTTCGGAGTGAGATGTCCAGTTGCAACGCGGGCTTTTCACACTATGCTCGGCAGTTATAGTTTATAGTTATAGCTTCCCTTTAAGGTTTCTATTTAGTCGTTGTCTGCACTGTTCATTATGATTTGAGTTTATTTGTCCACTCTTTGGTAGACCTTCGACAACAGCACGGCATCTTTGCCACCTGTCGCGTCCTTGGTGAACTCATCCTATGAAGCGGCAAGCGGAAACCTCTCAGAAGTACAACAAGCTCATCAGGATTCGGAACAACTACTTACGGACGTGACAGAGGCTGAAGGTATGTATATTAGAAGATACTTCCAGTTGTGTGGCGTATTTAATTGTTGCTACAACTTGGCTTTTCAGTGCGCATTGAACCGATGATAAAAAGTGAAATGTGGGAGATAAATAATCGTCTGAGTTCTGTGTGATGATTCGTCGTTTCCCCCTCCAGTTCTTATCTCGCGGTTGAATCTTTACCAACTGAGTATAAAAGAACTCGTCGGTGATCTGTGCCATGTATTTGGTTCTTATATGTCAAGCATTTTACATACTATTGGCATCACGGACGCTTGAAGTGTTCAGTGAGGAGATAGAGTTAGGGAGACTTTTCTTGTTGTTCGGTCGTCAAAAATGTTTTGGGTTGTGTGCGACTAGAACAGAACAATCCGTTTGATTCTTGAGGGTTTTTCAATATCCCACACAGTTATTTAAATTTTGGACACAGTCTTTTTTGCGTCTGTAGCACAATACATA